TTATATTAAATTATAATAATAAAAAAATATTTATAATAAATATAAATAAATATTTACAAAACACTAAGTATTTAAAAAATATTATTAATTGTCGCAGCTGATGCTGAAAACGGCTGATGCTGAAATTTGGGGTCTCTATTTAAAAATATAAGCTCTGCTAAAATCTACATATACTCGTTAATTATTAATTCTAACCCTAAATACTAACTCAACTTTAAAAAAAAAGCGGAGAAAAAACACCCTAAAAATTTTTTAAAAATTCATATCAAAATAGGTCCGAATTTCAGCATCAGCCGTTTTCAGCATCAGCTACGACATTAATTAATATTTATTTAATAATAGCATTAAATTAATATAAGGTTTCATTTGGTTCAACGTTGGGATGATTGTTTAAGTTTATTTTCAGACTTGAAATTTTGAAAGCAAATAGAACAACAGACAAAAAAGATTAAAGTAAATATTATATTTTGTGACAAGATAAATTGTAAATTCATAATTTAAAAAAAAATTTTAATAGTTTAATATTATTTATTTTAAATTTTTAGTAATTAGTAAAAGTATTTTTTTCAAAAAAAATAATTAGAATAAAGTAGTTATATATACTAAAAGCAATTAATACAACTACATGAACTTTGAGATTCATATATCTAATAATTATATTGTAAAATTAAAGACTAATCATTATTTAGTAGACAATACAATATCAAACAACTTGATCCACTATTTAAAATTTTTTTGAGTACTAAGTTTCAACTTTATGCATATTCTAAATTAGTTTATATGATATTATAAATATATATGCTATATCTCAAATAGGAATTTAGCTATCACAATTAAGAATCAGAGTATCTGATTTGCTATATAGATAATTATTTCTAAATTTAGACCAAAATAGGAGCTCTAATTTTCTCTATAGTTTTGATTAGACATATAAAAATTCTATCTAATTAAATAAACTACTAAACTAGATCATGTTACTACCAAAAAACTTTAAAAAATATTTTTTTTTAATATGCTATATATTCTTTATAAAATTATTTTTGAAAGCATTATTTCATCTTTATTTAATACTATAAAAAGTTTTTTGAAGAAAGCGAAAAACTATAGTTTAAAAATTTTATTATTTATATACTTTACAAATTTTTTTGCAAAATTTGAATCTGTATTCAGTTTGTAATCCTATTGGCTAATGATAATATGATCATTCAATTTATACATGTAATTGAAACTCTTAGATTTTTGAACATAGTTTTGGTTTTAGATTTAATCAATTTCAGCTCAGAATGATTATTTCTGAAATCAAATCTTTGGTCGAAAAGCTAACTAAAATCGAATCTAATTGAAGCCTTTTTATAAGAATTAAAATTCTAAACAAAGAATTATATAATAGCCAAAATTCTTTATCATTGAAATCATAGAATATAGAAAACAGACAAATAAATCTTCACAGTGTCAAATATTAGTATAGATTGTTCGTTATTCGCAAAAAATGCTTATTGACTAAGCTATGCAGATACATGTTAAAGTTTTGTACCCAACACTAACCATTTATTAGCCAATTCTATTACCCAAGCTTTATCAATAAAATAACTGTCAATAAAATAATTCATGAAATTGATTTATACTATAATTATACTAAATTTTTAAAGCAATGACTGAAAATTTTCTTTTTATTATTTTCTTTATATATATTGTAATTAAGTATATTTACTAATCTCAAATAAAGCTTCCTGTTCCTGGTTTTATCGTGATTACGTTGCGCAGCTACCTAATTAATTAATATAAAACAGACTATATACATATAAAATAATTGGCAAAAATTCTCACGTACAGTATGTACAGTACATACATATAGTATGTACGTACAGTACTTTATTGTATGGGTCTTATGTAACAACCCGTGCTTTTTTTATTAATTTATTAGCACGTGTTTTGAAAAATAATTAAATTAACACACTTTCATATTTGATAAAATATGAAAGTGTGCCGATTTAGTTATTTCAATTCACTTAAAATTGTGGTTTTTTTTTAAATTGTACAGGTTAGTAATATAGCACGCAAGCAGTAAAATCTTTATTTATGTGAATTACTTTACATAAGTGTATCTATACAAAGTAACAACTAGGTTGCATAATAAAAAACTATTTATATTCGAATAGACATTATTTTCCAAATGTAAGATTTAAATTTAAAGTAATCGGCTTTTCAGTAGGTGGAATTTGTAATATAATATTGGAAGTAATAGTTTCAAATAGTTTTCTAATTTCAGAGCAATTTTGTGTAATAATTGAATCATCTCTTATGTTATGTAATCGATTCTCTTGGATGTAATGTTCTTGCATAATAAATGACTGATTCTCTTGAATGTGATTTTCTTGCATCATATCTAATTGATCCTCTTGAATATGATTATTTTGCACATTATGTAATTGATTTTTTTGTAATTTACTTGATTGTTGTAAACTTTGTTGTTGATCTCTGGAACTTGATTTTTTGGTCTTTAATAATGGTGATTTAAAAGATGAAAAAAGTTTAGAGTTATGTTGCTAAAATTTTGAAGTTTTGTTTGATTTACGTGTGCACTTTGGAGCTTGTTCAAGTGAATTCAAAGTATCTGCAAAAAAAAAATAAATAATAGAAATGAAAAAAATAAAATAAAAATTCTTATTTAATATATAAATTGCAATAATGATAGATATACCATTGTTAGAAGAAATTTCTATTCTTGATTCAGAACCCATAGTAGTAGCAATAGAAGTTTCTACAAATTTTAAGATATATATATAAATAAATTTTAGCGAATTTTAGCGAAGTATAAATAATGATATATGTTTACCATGTTCTGAATAAGATTCGAATTCACATTTAAGAATTTCAGATGAAGTTGTATTATCGCCTATATAAATAAAATATTAGTGTTAAATCTACAAAAAATTTATAATTATATCATAGATAAAATTTTATATTTACCAGTTTTGATGTTTTTCTCTTCTTCTGATTCATATGTAAAATATGATTCCCTGGGGTAATTATAATACTCTTCTAAATCTTCTTCGATTGTCGCAAAGGGAATTAGTGAAGCTACAGAATTTAACTGTTGATCATCTGTGGGTTTACTATAGAACCTGTTACCTTCGTGTGATTCATGACCTAAAAAAATCATCAATTCATCTTCAGATATATCAGATGCCTTGAGAAGCATAATCGCAGTTCGTCTAGCTGAATGATTCGTAATTTTACGATCTGCAAGATTAATTCCAATATTTGTAGCGATATTGTGTAATATTCTTTTAAGTTTGTTTACACCCATGCGTGAAGGTTTATACCATTTACTGTTTTTAATATCTAATATAACAAATTAAATAAAAATATATAATAATAGCAAAACTTTAAATAAAAAACCTGATGCCTAACAAATAAAAAAAAAAACCTGATAATTTTCTGACGTATTCTAAAAAAAGAGGATCAGATTCTTGATATTCAACAGGACGTTTAGACAAGTATAAGATTATATCTTTTACTAGTATAAACTAATTTTCATTATTATCAGGAGGAATTGGAACTGTACATGTGGCAGTATGATCATATCGTCGACGATAAAAAACTCCTCCTTGATTATTTTTTCCTTCTAAAAACATAAGTATAGCTCACCATCTGCACGAGACTCAATATCATGGTACTGTAGATTACAAGTATCTCCTTCACAAAGCCCACATAATAATGATAGCCAGAAAATAATTCGTTTTATTAATCCTTCATTATTATTAGTTGCTAAATATTGGTAACTCAAACAGGCAGTAATTTCTTCAGAAGTTAAAGCATCACTTGAATTTGTACCACCATATCCATCTATTTGTAAGAATCGTATTTTTCCATCAAGACACTTCAATGCTTTAGGAAAATAGTATTTGTCCTTTAAATGTACTCCACTTTCTATCACACTATTTTCTCTCAAATATCATGTTAAAGCTGAATAGCAGTTTTGTACTGACTTTACTTTAAAAGGTTTTTTACCTTTTCATTTTAGCCATGCAATAAACAGGCTTAAAAATTCATCAAGCTCTTCTCTATTATCGAACTGGTCCAAATTTTTTTAAATATTGTGTTCTTTTATATAGCATTTTACATGCCGGAACTATTTCTCAGTATTTTTATCTAATTCAGTTTCTTTTCCTGTATAGATTAACTTGCATTTTTCAACAGAAGTTATAACAAAATCCAAAGAAAT